TTGGTGCACTGCCCCTGCAAGAAAGGTGCCTCCAGACGGGATCACCCAAGTCACTGCCCTGACTCCTGTGCGTGGGCCTTGCTTCCGCCAAAGCTTTGGATTTTTAAAGAGAAGCAGAAAGCATGGGTTTTTTAACATGAAATTCTGCTTTTCAAATACTGGCAGGTAAATAGAAAATTAAAACAAACCAACCACAAGGGAGACTGAACCGCTGTGCAGATAGGGCTTCATATTCGTAGCTGCTGGGCTGGGTGAACGCATCATGTGGTATTGTCATTATCTGTGGATGTCTCTGTCTTCCCACTCAGCCTGGTGGCAACTTGAGGGTGGGGCCTAGGACAGAGCAGTCCTCAGCACATACCTCGTGAATGAATAAGTGAATGAGTGAATGAATGAGTTTATGATGCTACTACTTGTAAACTGTGGTTAACCAGTGGGTTTAAAGCCATGGTTTGTAATTGGCAGTGTCATCCTGTAGGGGTTGTTTGGACATTTGTAGGGGTGTTTTTGGTTGGTGATTGAAGGTACCCTTGGCATTTAGTGGGGGGGGGGTCAGGGTGAATAAAAATATCATCAAGCATCTATTTTGTGCTCATTGTGTTCCAAGTACTTAATTGAAATTAACTCATTTAATCTCTTTTTAAATTTTTTTCATTAATTGATTTTAGAGAGAGAGAGGAAGGGGGAGAGAGAGAAAGAAACACTGATTTGTTGTTCCACTTATTTATGCACTTCATTGGTTGATTTTTGAATGCGCCCTGACTGAGACTGAACTGGAAACCTTGGTGTATGAGGATGCCGTTCTAACCAACAAAGCTACCCAGCCAGGGCCATTAAATCCTTACAACAGCCTTATAAGGTAGATATTGCCATCATTCCCATTTCAGAGAAAGTGTTGTTGGGGTTGGGGGACGGTGCTATGGATGGAACAGCCCCACACGGCAAGGAACCGTCCTGTGATCTTGTGTTTCGCAGACTCCTGGGTGCCCTACTGGCTATTTACATAGAGGAAAAAACCCGTTGGTGGTGATCAGAAATACAACTATCATGTAAACTGCAGGAAGAGTGTGCTTTATTTTTCAGCACTTTTCCAAGAGCTCACCGTTTCAGAAAGAACACACAATAGATGGCAATGTTGCTCAGGGCATCTGAGGCATGACGGTCTCGCATGTACAGCTCTCTGCACTTATAGTTAGGGATTCTAAGTGCAGGCACTGGGTGGATTAACTTTTTCAAAGTAAACTCTTTACTGAATAACTACATACTTCAGAAAAGTGAGTCATGCCCTGGTCTGTGTGGCTCAGTTGGTTGGAGCCTCATCCTATGACCGGAAGATTGTGGCTTCTCTCACATCGAGGTCTCTCTCTCCCCCTTCCTCTTTCTCTAAAAAGCAATGAAAAAACATCCTCGGGTGAGGATAAAAAAATATTTTAGTGAGTCATAAGTATTGACCTCTATGAACTTCTGCAAAGTGAACACACCCCTGTGTAACCAGCACCCAGATCAAGGAACAGAACATTCTCAGCACTGGCCAGTCCCCTGATGTTCCCTTCTAGTCACAGTTCCCCCGAGAGGTGACTGCCACCCTTACTACCACTTCTTACATCACGTTACATCAACACCTTACATTAACTCTGCCTATGTGCTTGAATTTTACAGACATGGAATCACGTAGTATGTGTGTGTTTGTTTCTTGGTCCGGCTTCTTTCAGTCAGGATTATATAGTGAGATTCATCCATGTCATTGTGTGAACTGGCTGTGTCCTTGGACAAAGGGCAGGAGGAGAAGCAGGTAATCAGGCTGGAGGGGCACCTAGGCAGTTATAAAGACACAGTAGGTAGACACTCTTCTTTGTTACCGTGGCTTAGCCTTGAGAGTAAAATGGAGCTCATGCTTTTACTCAGCCTACCTGATCTGTGTCAGCAATAGACACGCCATCAAAACCTTGTCAGGACTTCAGAAAAAGCAGCAGGGGCTGGATTGCCTTCTTACACGCACATGCTGACTGGGCACCGTCTAGTGTACATCTTCCAGGGCTGGGCTCAGAATTGGGGTGCGCAGGGAATTGCCGTTGCTGCTCTGGTCAGCCCTACTCTGAGCTCTGATCTCTGAGTTCTGCAAAGCCCCCTCAGACCAGTGGCCAGTGGGGACAGGGCAGTCAAGCCTGGCTCCTCTCGTAGGCTCCTGACATGTCAGAGGAGGGATGCCCCAGGTGATGGCTCAGGCCACATATTCAGACAACTGCCTGAGCCCAGGCTCTTCCTCCCCAGCAGTGGGAACCGCCCCTCAGCTGTGCTGGCCCAGCCCTGCTGGTCCACTTGTCTTGGACTCTGACTTTCTGAGGTAACATGGCTTGAATACTCCCACCTCCCCCGGGGACAAGCAGGTTTACTCATTTACTTCCTTGGGACTTTGGAGGTTGCCCAAGGAATCTGGAATCAAAACAAGGGAAACTTCAATGCTAACTCCTGTCTGAGGTCAGACAAGCCAGTCATCTGCTTGGTGCCTCAACTTCCTTATAGGTAAAATTGGGGAATAATAATGTCTTATTTTATGGGGATGTTGTGCAGATAAAATGAGCTGGTGTGCAAGAAAGCACCTTTTAAAAGATCAAGCGATATGTGAAGACAATTTAGATCATTATTTGCTACTTTTATTGGAGGGAGGAGGGACAATATATTTATTTGAAAAAAATGTGACTTTTGGAACAAACAAGAATAAATTCTGGTTTTGCAAAAACATACATGCCATGCAGCTTTTGATGTCATAAAAGTCTCTCTGAGCCTGTGTCTTCATGTGTAAAATGGTGTCAATGATACTTAAGTTGGAGGATTGTTGTCAAAATAAGTTGTGAATAATAGAGTGAAGAAATAAAATGGAGTCACTACAGTCACTCTGCTAAGAATGCAGAACTGATTCTTCTCAAGAATGTACTTTTATCATAAGAACTCTTAGTTTGCCCTGCCCGGGCGGCTCTGTTGGTTGGAGCATGATCCCATACACAAAAAGTTTGTGGGTTCGATCCCCTGTTGGGGTGCGTATGGGAGGCAGCCAATGGATGTTTCTCTCTCACATCAAAGTTTCTCTCTCTCCCATCCCCTCTTCCTAAAATTGATACACATATCCTTTGGTGAAGATTAAAAAAGAAAAGAACTCTTAGCTTTTCTTTTGTCTTTGGAACACTCTGGATATGGCCTAATTGTGTTTCAGGTTTACAAACCCTAAGACTTTTGAATAAATACTTCTCATTTATTTCTAGCAGAAGCCTACAGACTCTTTCCGAGTTCGTTTGATAGTGGTTGCATGTATAAAAGTCCCTACCCAGTACCTGGCACACAGTAGGTACTTAATAATAGGTGCTGTCATCATTCCTGTTGTTAAAACTAATAATGATAGCAACAGAGGTACAATATACTAATTCTGAACCTTTTCTCTCCTTCACTTTCAGGGGGCCAAGCTCCTCTTTCCTGGCCTCTAAGTGGTACAGGCACAAGCTACTAGATAGACTCCTGGGAGAAAGAAGGAATATGGTGTCCTCTTATACACCACGTCAATGACCAACTTATCCCAATTTGCCCAGGACTGCCGTGGTTTCAGCACTGGAAGTCCTAGTCCCTTGAACTCCCTTAGTCCCAGGCAAACTGGGATGATTGGCTTCTCCACAAATTGTGGGTCTAAGTGCAGACTCTGGCACTGATTACCAAGTAGGAAGGTGTCAACATTGACTGAGCACCTGTGAGACAGGCACTGTTCAAGGCCCTGGGGCACAAAGATTTAAAAAAAAAATCACAATCATCACCATCAAGGAGCCACAAAGCCCTGTAAATCTATCAGGGGAAGAAATCTCCTAGGATCATGGTGCGTTCACCCATAACTGATGTAGCCACAGTGCACAAACTACTCACACAGCAGGTGCTGGAAAATAGCCGCGGGAGGCAAGACTCTGGATGGGAAATAAAGTTAGGAGCGGGATTCTAGCTAGGCCTCTGCCTGTCTTAGCTCTTAACTTCAGTTTTCTCAACCTTGAGATTCGTCGTGTGCTTTTAGTGTGCTGAGGAATCACTTCGGAATGTTCATTAAAACAGATTCCCAAATCTGGCCCTAGGTTTATGTAATCAAAAGGGGTTGGAGGTGAGACCCCCAAATCTGCAACTTTACACCCATCCCTTCCGAGCAATTTTGACGTTTGCAGTCTATGTGCCAGACTTTGGGAAGTACTGCTTAAATAATGATCTGCCTCAGCAGTAAGTCTGGCAGGTGATTTAAAAGTAAGGCAACAAGCAAGAAAGTACCTTGTGAGTCTGAGAGCAGACAATTCTTTGCAAATGATAGTAATCCAAGTAATCCAAATAATGTTCCCCCAAATTAGTAATAATAGTGAAAGAATTGGAGGACACACTGCAATTGCTTCAGACCGAGCCTATACCACCCAGTCCACTCCAGCGCAGTCGATGTGACTGTCTCTTTAAGGCCCTCCCATCACCCCAACCTTGCTCACCTTTTCCCGGGCCGGCCGCGCCTGCGTGCTGGCAGCTGTTGAACGTCGGAGCCTCCCAGAGGGGCGGGAAGGCGGTGCTTATGGCGTGCGCGCCTGGCCCCGCCCCTACCCATTTCCTCCCCCCGCCCTCCCGCCCCGGTTTTGCCCCCGCCCGCACGGTACAGCTGGGCCAGTGACGCGGGAGCTGCTGCTGCCGCCGCCGCCGCACTGTTCCTTTCTCTCCAGCCGGCGACAGCTTCGCGCCCTGCCTCGCGTCTTCTCCTCCCGCAACTCGGTCGAGCTCCAGCCGGACAAGGGCACGCGGGGCACGCGGGGTCTCGCCTACACTCGAGAGCTGCAGCCGCGCGCAGGCAGTGGAGCAGATCCCGGCGCCTTGGAAGCTGCGAGCGCCCCCCTGCAGGAGGTCCCTGCACCGTTCCTCTGGTAAGTTGTCACCGTGGCCGGGGAGCGGCGGGGTCCGGCATTGTATCACTGGTGCTTCCAGTCTGCTGTCAGCGGCCCGGGGTTGGCGCGCACCGCCTGGGAGGGCCTCTGGGGAGCCCGGGCCCGCCGCCCGGCGTCAGCTGCTCTGCGCTGTCTCGCTGTCACCCGGCGTGGGCCGGTCGGGCCCGGTGCCCGGAGAGCGGCCGGGGAGACTGCCGAGGCCGCGAGGAGGACCGGATGACCGGTTTGCGGCCGGGAGCGTAGTGGCCGGGATCGGGGCACGCTGCCCTGGCCTCGCCCGCCGTGCGGGGTCGCGCTCGCTGCCTGGGAGTTCAGGGTGGAGACCACAGTTGGCGGGTCGCCGAGAAGGAGGTAGGCTGAGGCCCTCTTTCTTTTATCACTATTATTTCCCCCGCCAGCAGACTAAACCTGCGGGTCCCGCGCGTGGGCAGGTTTTGTTTAGCGACGGTGGATTTCCTGAGCAAACCTTGTAGTTCGTGTGCGTGAGCCTCGGAGCTTTCTGCAGCCCCCGCGTCCCGTCTGGTCTTTAATCTCAAAAACTTCTTTTATTATCCCGGCTGAGACTCACCGAAACCATTTCCTGTTTACAAATGCAGACTTTCTTTTTTTACTCCTGCTTTTTAGAGACTCCAAATATTAGTGTAGGTCTAACCCTCCTGTAGGATTGTGGCTGTGGGGCTGCTGAACGAGGAAAAAGTTACCTGTGTGGAGGTGAGGGGGAGGTGGTTTGGGGGACCGTAAGACCCAGTAGAAAAGAGGCGTCAAAGTCAGGTCTGTGGACTAATGCTGTTGTTCCTATAGAATGTTCTCTTGGTGACAGGAGGCTCATTGGGCTTTGTTGCTCTTGCTAACTAGGCTTGCGTGTGCTTTTTACTAAGGTGCACACACAATTAAACCGTAGGTATTTAATCCATTTTTAGATCTACAGAGGTGGGAAATGGGTCTTTCCATCCTTCACAGTATAGTTCATTTCTTGATCTTTTCATTCCTCTGGTTTCAAATGTGTGTATGAATGATGTACACACACACACACACACACACACACACACACACACACTTTTTCTGTTTTGGGAATTCCACACCCAAATTGTCACCATCTAGTGGAGGCTAGTAGAGACATGTGCTTGGCGTGGAGTTCTGAATTTTATGGGCTTTGCATTTTTAGCTGGATGCGTAGTCAACCAGAAGTAAGACTTCCAGGGTTTGGGAGGGAGTGTCTACTTCCACCCCAGAAAAGGTGGTATTTAATAAAGCAACAATAATAGCAGTAATAGGTGAAAGTTCTTGAGGACTTACTGTGTATCAAGTCTTGTGCCAAGGACTTTACTTTTTTATTTCATTTAATCAACAATTTTTTGGTAGATATTGTTATTCCCATTTTTTTAAAAAATTGAGACCAAAGCCAAACAAACAACTTGCCCAAGGTCACAGAGATAGTTGGTGGTGGAGCCCACACTGTTAACTACTATGTTCTACTGTTTGTAGTTTGCTTATCTTTTGGGAAAAGTGGAGTCATGCAGGGGTGTCCAACCCACCGCCCATGAGCTGCATGAGGCTCAGGAGGGCTATGAATGAGGCCCAACACAAAATTGTAAATTTAGTTGAAACATTATGACATTTTTTTGTGATTACATGTCTCAGTATGTTTAATGTGTGGCCCAAGACAACCCTTCTTCTTCCATTGTGGCCCAGAGATGCCAAAAGGTTGGACACCCTTGCAAATCTAGAGTCTTTTCAAAAGCACTACTGAGCACCCTTACCTCTGCCTTCAAGATACACATTTCTGTGTGTTTGCACAACATTCATTTGTTCATTAATTCATTCTTTTTTTTTTTAAACATTTTAGTCTTTTTATTTATTTATTTATTTATTTTCGAGAGAGGGGAAGGGAAGGAGAAAGAATGGGAGAGAAATATCAATGTATGGTTGCCTCTCATGCGTCCTCTGTGGGGAACTGGCCTGCAACCCAGGCATGTGCCCTGACTGGGAATCGAACCGCGATACTCTGGTTCGCAGGCCCGCGCTCAATCCACTGAGCTACGCCAGCCAGGGCCCATTAATTCATTCTTTAAAAAATTTTTTTAATTTAACTTTTTTAGAGAGGGGGGAAGGAAAAAGGTAGAGAAACATCGATGTGAGAAACATCAGTTGGTTGCCTTCCATATGTGCCTGTAGCTGGGAGGACCTGGGACTGAACCCGCAACCCAGACATATGCTCTGACTGGGAATCAAACCCTTGACCTTTCAGTTTGCAGGACCTACGCCCAAACAGCTGAGCAACTGAGCCACACAGGCTGGGGCTCATTCTTTCTTTCATTCAGTACTCACAGATATTTATGTGATACAGAATGTATGTCAGGCACTGTGGTAGGTATTGGGGATACTGGATAAATAAGACAGAGTCCAGCCATGCCCTGGTAGAGTCCACAATATTTAAGTCAGTTTTGTTTCTGTTTATGTTGTTAATTATTATTGTTGGCCATTTGCTGCTTAAGGAACTTTAGCCCAGTGAATTAACTAGAGGCCTGGTAGGTAGGACTTCCTGTCTGCACAGCCACTTTTTGAATACTGTAGCAGAAATGGCATGTGAAACAAATCCTCACCTACAGCTGGCTAGATGGCGGCAGGTCCCCAGGTGCTCAGAGTAGGGCCTTACTGCCACCTCTGCTCTTCAGTGTTTGAATCCTGAGAGCAAACTCACTGTCAAATGGGAGTTCAGCTTATTTGCAGAGGTGTGCCTTTCCCAAGTCCAGAACTTGGGTTGACAGAAGAGGAGGGGTAGAATAAGGTGTGAAGGGCACAGGCTGGAAGATTGAAGAGACCTCAGCACTTTGGTTTCCTGGCAGGTCTCCATCTCGTGGTGATGAAACGTGCACTCTTATGTAATGGTGCATCTCCTGGCAGGGGTTTCCTTCTTTTCTGTTGCTGGGGCGGCAATTCCTGCAGCTGTCTTTCCCCTCCACACACATATATGGCTTCTTAAACGTAAGAACTTATTTCAGGTTTATCGCTACTACACACCATTTCACTCTCTCCATGCTTTTCTGTCCTCCAGATAAAAACTTGCCATATGTTTTAGATCTTTCCTTGTGCTCTTTTTCCATATTCTTAGCTCTTCTGACAACCAAGTGTCTACTGGTGTCTGTGGTCTCAGAGAATTACAGTATCTTCAAAAAAAAAATGACTGGACCATGTAATCTTCCTAATTTCCTTACCCAAACAAGTGAACTGGGGAGAACATCTTTAGCAGAGCCCCTTGCAGGTAGAGAAGGAAGGTCAGAGAGCACCTGTGCTTGTCTTTTTCTCTCTAGTTCCCTACGTACCAAGGGACCATTCACGGAGAGATGGCAGCAGAGTTACAATGCCCTCTTATAGGTCTGAAATGCCTACTTGGAAGCCTGAATTTCAGCAGCTCTATTGGTCCAGGTTGTGTAATTGCCGTGCATGAAGCATTTGACTGAGCTCCCGAACTGACAAGTGATCTGCAGTTGAAGCTGACAGGCAGCATTCATTTTCCCTATTCGATCTGCCTGGGCAGTAGGGAGGTCTTGTTTGGGGGGTATTCCATCAAGCACTAGGAGAAAGATGAGAAGGAACAAATAATAGAAGAAGCCAAGTGCCTTTTTTTTAAACTTTGAAAGCAAATATTTCTTTGGTACAGACTTGAATGGTGAGGGTTAAGATACTTGGATTAAGGGTAAGCATTGGGACAAATGCATATGTGATAATAGAGACTCTTTCCCCCAGTTTCTCCTCAAGATGGCTTTGGTCTAGGAGTCACCTACATATCCCACTGTAGTGAGATTTCATTTAATAGAATGTTTTTTTTTTTTAAATTAGTATTCTTAAGTTAGGTTGCCACGTTGCAGGGAACTGGGAAACTAGAGCAGTGAGAAATGATGCCTGTCACTAGGAGGGCTGTTTTCTTGTGGGTGGGAGTGAAGGATGTTGTCTGAGGTTGGGACTGGGGGATTTGCGATGTGGATTCGAAGCTGCTAACAGCTGTGAATCTGAGACCAGTGAAACAGTTTCAGGGCATCATTGGGGCAACTGTCTTTGAGCATCAGGGTTGTTCACTCCTACCCTGGGTCGGGTTCAAGGCAGCAAGAGCCTTTGCTCCCTAGGATGGTGGTAACTTTGTGTCTCTGTAAACATCTTTATCTGCAAAAGGAGAGGTGCTGGGGAAAGAGTTACCTCTTACGAGCCTTAAGTTTTTTGCACAGAGCCTGTGAGGCACCTGTGGATGTTTCCTTTTTCTTGTGTTAATACGTTTCTGTGATGGTGTCCTTTTTCCTTCCCTTTTAGCCCTTTGGCCTGGAAGCCAGCAGGGTTCCTCTGTTTGTTCGGTCTTCCTCTGGTTCCTAACCTGAATGTGGAAGTCTCCACTCTGCTGGTAGACCTTGTGGTGGCACCAGGCTGATTTGCTTCAGCCAGGAAAGGCCACCTGTCAGGGCTGGGGGACAGTTGAGTCCTTGTGAAGGTATTGGTATATCAACAGCAGAAAATGCAATGGCAGCGGAAACTAAATGAGTTTCACAGAGCCTGGTGTTGCCTGTGATGTATTCTCTCACCCTGGCTCTTAATCTCAAAAGAGGAAAATAGCTACCCTTGAAATCTGAAGGCTGCATGCCAAGAATTAGAAACAGGATATTATTGAAGCATTTTTCTCAAGCAGAAGCAGATGTACTTCCCTGTTACTGTCTCCAGCGTTAGCAGAGCCTTAAAATTACCTGATAGGGACGTGCCCTTCAATGTACCACCACCTCCCACACACATATACCAGTGTTGTACTTTTTTTTGGCAGGGCCTGTTTCCTTGATTTGAGGAAAGTTAGCCTGGGGTTCCTGATGACAGTAATAAGTTCTCAGTGTGTTTGCAGATGGTAGAGCTGGTGACTGGCAATTCTTTATTACTCAGAAGAGGATCTTCTGTGGTGAGGAGTGAAATGACTCAGGGTTCTTTTCTCCGGTAGTTGGAGATGGGACACAAAACCTCGTGAGAAGAGACACAAGCAGGGGCTCCTGCCCAGTCCTCCCTTTCTTACCATCCTTCCTCAGGAGAGGGGACGTCCAGTCTTTTCAGGTCCAGCCTCCTGCCAGAAGTGCCTTGCCTTCACCCGTAGAACTTGAAGATCTGAGCGTGGAATTGCTCAGTGTGTAGACTGTCCTTGTTCAAATTTTGGCTTCACAGGGTCTTGGCTTCCGACAAAGCCAGTAAAGCGAAACTGGCTTCTGGGAATGGGATAGCAGTGTTTATCCCACTTTCCCTGCTTTGGGCTGCTCTGAGTTGATCTCAGTGCACGGAGTGTGTGGAGGTTAAAAAGGGAACTTGAAAAAAGAGAACAAAGTGGT